CTGCTAAGACTTGATGTAGACGCTGCCCATCGGAATCTAGTAATTTATAAACAACGCTGTTTGGCCTGTGTTCACTTTTTTCTGGTGATACATGTATAACTTTTTGATACGTAAATTAGAGCGTACAGTTAACGTATTTTTATCCTCCCTTTCAGCCAAAAGAACAGACATAAATCACCTGGTCAGTTTGATATCATTTCTTCAACATCGTAGATTTCTGGTTGGTCAAACGTGACGATATGGATGAAAGTTTATGTGATCCTGATGTCTGCAGTGACGAGCTCAACAAACATCGGAATGTATTCTTTGAGATAACCAAAGCTATGGGGACAGACGCTTTGGACAAGTTACTGGTCTCTTTGGTGATGGACGGGGTAGACATTGATCCAACTGATGAAAGCGGAGTAACACCTCTTATGTCCGCAGCTAAAAGTGGGGATATGACGTCACTGAGAAGTCTCGTTTCTCATGGAGCAGACGTGAACGCAAAAGATGGCGACAACTTTACGGGGATTATGCTTGCTGCGGACTGTGGGCATATAGAAGTTATTGAGATTCTAGTTGAAGCAGGAGCAATTCTCAACTGTGTGAATCACCTGCACGAAAGTTCCCTATTGAGAGCTGCCAGAGAGGGCAACGTAACCGTGGTCGACTGTCTTATCGCACTGGGCTCTTGTGTTGATATGATAGATGACAATGGAGATACGGCCCTTATCTGTGCTAGTCGGCATGGACACGAGGAGATCATTCGCAGTTTGCTTCGTAGTGGGTGTGATGTCAACGTCATGAATGCCGAAGCAGAAACTGCTCTAACGGTCGCTCACTCTGAGGGGCATGACATTGTCGTCGACGTTTTGCTCGGTGGTAAGCCAGACATGAACAAGACGAATGGAGCTCTGAGCACACTATTACACCTGTCTGTTCGGAGGGGACGTGTGGACCTGGTGAAACTCCTTCTAGACAACGGAGCTGCCATGAATCAATTCAACATGCACAGATTTACGCCTCTTCAAAGTGCTGTCCAAAGGAACCATGTTGATATTGTGACGATACTCTTAAAACATGGAGCTGACACGGAAATAACAAATATTTATGGGGACAACGCCTTGATCATTGCTTCCAGACTTGACGATGACGAGATTCTAAAATGCCTTTTAGATTCTGGTGCAGACATAGAGGCCCGTGACTTCTGCCGAAATACAGCTCTCATTCATGCTGCGTATCACAACAAGAAACATAATATCGCCACTCTTCTCCGATGTGGCGCAACAGTAGACGCTGTTAATTCAGATGGAGACACAGCTCTCATGTGCGCATGTCAAGGAAGCGAGGCTAACGAAGAAACCGTTCGTCTGCTGTTAGACAATGACGTAAACCTTGAAATTACAAACAAAGCTGGAAACACGGCTTTGATTGAAGCCATCTTGCACCACAAAACTGAGACTGTCAAACTTCTCGCGGGGTGGGGCGCCGTGGTGGACGTCACAGCATCTGCTAGCAGGCGTCGCGAGAAACACGCCACCCCTTCATCTAGTCGCAATCTTAGACGCAAGAAGGAGACAGCCCTCATGCTAGCCGTAGCTGTTGGAACTTCTGACGTGGTGTCAACGCTTCTGGACTTCGGTGCAGACGTGGACGGGGTGGACAGAGACGGAAGCACCGCTCTGATGACTGCAGCAAGGGGAAACAACACTGCCTCCCTGCAGCTACTGCTGGACTGGGGTGCCGAGGTGAATCAGTTCAACTGTGAGGGTTTCACCGCCCTCATGTCTGCCGCTCTGTCCGAGGGTGCTGACTGCGTCAAGCTGCTGCTGCAGCACGGAGCGGAAGTGAACAGTACCTGTCTGGGCGTGCCCGGGAAGACAGCTCTGAGGGCTGCCGTCAAGAGTTGCAACGAAGACGCCACCCGCATTTTGATGGAATCTGGGGCAACAGTTTTCCACGAACTTCACATGTCGATAGCTTCTCGGAAGAGAAACATGATTCCTGTTTTGATTTCGAACGGGGCTTTGCCAATTATGAGATCCACTCGCGGGTTGTTCCCCCTGGGTACTCTTCCTCGGCACGAAATGTTGTCTCCTTTCAGTCTCGCTTTGGTCATGGGTGAAATCGACATTGTGAAATATCTTAGACTCAACTGGTTCTTCAATGATTTCGACTTGCACGGCTTCCCCAAAATACGGAGGTTTCGTCGCTACCTGAGAACTCATGACATGACGACAAGCCTTGGTATGATTGACACTTTTTACGCCTCCCCTCTACCCCTAGTCCAGCTCAGTTTTGTGAAAATATCCACCATCTTGGGATTTGAATCAGACCGTAAAAAACAAGTGCAATCTCTTGACTTGCCACCTGTCTTCAAACGAAGGCTTTTGTTTAAAGATCAAACTGTTCATGTTCCACTAGAAGAATGGAAAGATTTACCTTTTGCGTGAATGTGTCCATGTCCAAATTTCATAAAATAGATATTGTTGATGCAAGCTAGAAGTGCTATTTAAAAAGAGGCAGTGAGCTATTTAAGAGGCAGGGCTTCTTATTTATAACCCGTCTCTGGTAGGAGGAAGGAGAAGAGCCATTAAACCTCTTCGGGCTTCACTAAACTAATGTTAAAGTTCAGGGTCGTCTGCTCCGTTACCAGCACAACGCTAGCTGAACTAACAGCTTTTCTAAAAGATATGTCCTTCATCTCAGCCCAACCTTCACACTGGGGACAAAGGAAACAGGGTAAAAGTAAAGTATACCTCGAATTGGGTGACTTAATGAGCACACCATGTTGAGTAACTGTAGAGGTCACAATGGGGTTATTGATTATATAATGTCTTACAGAAACAGGAAACAGTGGGCCGTGGACGTCTGCATGCGCAAAGAAATTGCAAAGGAGGGGTGGGGGTGGGGGGTATAATTTTAATTTTACAGGAAATATCAGCAGGTGAATTTGTTTCATTTTTTGAATGCCATTTTTTTACCAGTCTGAGCTTTGGCCTTCAGATTGGTTCATTGTGTGGAGTATGTACTTGAACTTACTTTAAACTTACTGCGACCTCAACTCTTTAGTGAACTTTGTGTGTTCCCTGTTTTCAGATTTTGAGATGAGGAGAAGAAAAAATGTTCACAGTGCATGATGTTAGTGTCTGTTTTTATGTGAGTGCGAGTGTGTGTGTGTGTGTGTGTGTGTGTGTGTGTGTGTG